TTAAAAAATTATTCCGTTACCAAAATTAAGTACTTTTGACAAGACCTTCAAAGTATATCAGACTAAACTTGACTTTGACCTTCAGTGTCAATATTTTCAGTTTGAATTTATTTGAATTTGATTTTTTTCAAGCTTCGTTGGTCGCATCATAAATATCTGAGTAATTCAAGAATGAGCACTGCCAAATAGGATTTCATATAATATTACCAAAAAATTGTACAGTAGTTATTTATAATAAAAGCCTTAAAGATTAGGCTTCCTTATCAAAATGATAAAAATCATTCTTAATTTTAATAATCTGGTTTCTTTGATCGATTGTAATAAAATACATGTATACTTAAGAAATGAAATAGATGACTATATGTTTAAGAGATAGTTTTGAAAACTTTTTATATGATAGCGTCTAACAATTATAACTTCATCCTCTGAAAAAAGCCACCATACAGCCATTATTTCTTTTAATTTGTCTGTGTAAGATTCAATTTACAAGAACAGTTGTATTTCACCAAAAGAAGGATTTATATTTAGTTCTTTATTGATTCACTATTAAGTACCATTCAACCTGTCCAATTAAGGTGTGAAGCATTGATAATTCCAACCATAGGAACTTAATGGCAAAAATGTTTATATATCGACTTCCCTTTGTGACCGACTATCCGCCGTGATTTTTATCAAGTTTTATCTATAACACGCACACACACACGCACGCGAGCACACACACTTATTAAAAAAAATTTACCGACAAAACTTTTTTTATAAAAAGATATATCTACTGCGTATATAATTACTACAAGGTAAGTCTCTCGACATGTTTTCAAGCAACGAAATGAATCTTTATGCCCTTTTTAATTCGGAATTTTGAGTTTTTATAAATAGTTAAATCACTTTTAAAATTTATACTTTATAAATATATTGTTTAAATATGTCACTTCCGTGTTTTAGAGGGATTTATTTTAAAGAACTAATTCATGTGTAATTGTTGTTTATTTATCGTGAAATCTAATTTATTGTATTCAGAAATACATAACGTTTTATGACTTAAATGAATTTCTGTTTTATTCTAGAATGTCGAGAATACCAGATTACGCTCACAATTTATCACTTAGAATGTCTCAAGTGATGGATGGGATTGGTGTAAACGAGAAGATAGTGATGAAAAGAAGAAGATCAATGCTACTGAATGAATCACTAATTACGATAACTCATCGGCTACTCGGTAATGATGTGAATATATTCTTATTCGGCAGTCAAATAGAAGGTACAACAACTCCAGGATTACAGTCTGACGCAGATTGTCTTATATCTTTGAACACATATAATGTGATACAAGACTGGAGTGAATGGGAATACGGTAAACATAATTTGTTGATGATACAAGATGAGTATGTCTCACCAGGATATGGTTTGTTACAAGAGTTAAGAGATGATGCTCTACTACCACGCGTAGTTGAAATTGGTGACCATTCATATAGAGACAGAATGGGGAGAATATTGTTAAAAAATACAAAATTCAATTTTGTTGGAAATAATGCATTCATGAGACACGGTCCAGCCCATTCTCCACAAGACGTTCCTGGGATCAATGATCATGATTTTGTTCTTGCCTTTCCCTCTCGGTTATACCCAGTTAAAGCAAGTCACTGGTTATGTCAACATAGAGAAAAGCATTGGCCTACAAATGATATGATACAGTACTGCAGTAACACACGATGTGTTGTTGTAGGCGTTGGAAAAACAGGAAGTGTAAATGAAATACTTGAATGGAGAATATCTACATCATTTGCAGAGAGATTTTTAATGTTTACTCTTAATATTACACAAATCAGGTGTTATGTTTTGATGAAAATGATTCTGAAAACATTTATATCTCAAAGATTCCCCGACAGCATTTCAAGTTTTATATGTAAAACAGTTTTGTTACATTGCATTTCATTTACAAGATCTGATGCATGGAATGAAAATACCCTTTTTATTTGTCTATCATTTTGTTTATCAACACTTTACAACTGTGTTCAAAATGAATACTGTCCTCATTTCTTCATCACACAAAACAACTTATTGAGCGGGCGAATTTCTCCGGAATCGAAGCCGTTAATACTTGAAACTCTTCGTTATGTTATTGAAAGTAATGGAAGGGCATTACTCGAAATTGAATGCGACAACTTTGGCATATATCTGCAGTCAAGTTTAAATGGTTTTATACAAGTAAATGAACATATTATACCAACTAGAATAGCTGGACTTTTGCTAAAAGATACTGCCCTTTTAATGAATGTAAGTTTCAAATCCTTCTTACATGAAATTAAAGATTTATCACCACGAATTGCCACGCAAAAACTTTTAACAATTATTGCAAATCACCATAATGAGAATACAAAAGCTAACCGCTTGATAACAAGACATTTATGTAGTTCAATTGGATCTATTCTAGCTTCTTTAAACATTTACCAACAAGACCATTTAACATACAAGAAGGCGCTTTCATTCATGTCATTAGGACTTGACCCCGATGTAGCATCTGGTAAACTGAAACTAGCATCGGTTTTTTATTGTACCGGAGATATTGAGAGGACTGAATTTATCCTGAAAAATATTGAGGAGTGTTATGATCTAAATGTTGTTGAACCTGTATGCGGGTGTTACGATTTCATACACAATGCAAATAGGGAAAGATTCAACAGATTATGTTATGAATCAAATGAAGAATGCACACTACTAAAATATATAACAGCATCATGTGTCTGTTTTATACGATTTGAAATAAACTGTTGTCCCCTAGAACTTCAACATGAAATGTTTAGATCAACCCAGGAAATTCATGCCCACAGACGTTTACATGATAAATGGATGGACTTCGCTGCGGTTGATTCTCTCTCATACCTCTACTTCTTGCAGTACAAGACATATTCCCGTCTAGGAAGACAAGATGATAAACAAAGAGCTCTATCTAACATTGCCAGAACCATTGATGTTGAACCAAATCTCAGACATAAGGAAACAGCACTCAATCTTCTAGGACAGTGTATGGAAGAAGAGAATAATCCAGGCAATGCTTTCAAATGTTATGCACGTTCCCTTCAGATAAGAGAACGAAATAATTCGGCAAAAGTCCATATTTGTAAGCTGTTAAACAAATTGATCAATAACTAATATTCATGTGATTTGCAAGAACTGTATAATTGCTTCATCACCAATAGAAGACGTTTCGAGGAAAAAAATAGACAAGTTTTGCCTTGTTCTATGGCCAGATGCATTAATGCGAACCAAGTCTCGAACAAAAAAGTGATAGAGCCCTTTAAATTATTAAACAGTGTAAGTTTTAAACAATGACATAAAAATGTTTTGTTATCCCTGCAGAAACGAGGACGAAATAATTTGGCAAAAAGTCATATTTGTAATCTTATCATCACAGTTATTGATTTTAACTTAATAATATATGATTTGATGAGAAAATCATTTAAATAGTTCTAAATAAAGTAATTTCTATCAAAACAAATTATAAATGTATATACAAAAGACACTTCACTCAACATATCTTTGTTGGAAGTTTTTTTCTGATGTTTATCTTTCATTTGAATTTCATTTTTTTTATTTATTTATATGTTTTGCATAAAGATATTGAGCATAATGTGTGACAATAGAATACTTTATATAAACGTATTGAGTAAAACATATTGTGACTATACACAATACCATACATAAATGCATTTATATCTTCAGATATATTATGTGTACTGTACAAATATATCGCTACTTTATCATATGATATAAAATTTGTTGGATTTTTTTGCAATGAAATTAAAACAGCGGCATTCTTCTTGTTTAACAAATGGTATGAAAAAGATTATAGTTTAATCGTTTCTGACAATATCATTAAATTTGATCCCATCATTTATTTGAAAGAACCTGTTTCACAGTACAAAAATACATGATTTGTGTTAATGTGACAAAAATAAAGTTATCTCAAATGTATTAAAGGATTTTGCAAGTATTGATCGGTGAAAAATATGCATACAATTTTTTAATTATTTTTATTTATTGTTCAATAAAGTATGTCCTAAATTTTTAAATCAAGGCATTAATTATGTAATATCTATGAGTCTGTGAGTCCGAGAGAATTAAAATTATTAAAACATATTTATTGTCTACAACATTGACATAATAGGCATAAAAAATATTTTAAGGAAGCTAAATGATCATGCGATACTACATTTTAGCTGTATATAATCTTTTCGTAACACTAAACATATCAGCTGTTGTGTTTGTATTTAAGTCATACAGATCATTTTAAAGCATATTTTCCTTGATAATATCTCACGTTAAGTTATTGCGAAACAAAAGAAAAATAACAAAGAAAAAACTAAACTTGTTAAAAAAGGAAATATAATCTATATTTTACAAGAGACACCTGGCTATGTTTTGTTTTTCTAAAAGCAAATAACTTTTGAACTATTTAAAACAGTGTACACGTTAGACTTCGTGCTTCTTCTCTTACATTCAATATATGTACTTGGTGTTATTTTCATAACTTTAGATAAAGACAATAGCAGTACAATTAGCTGAAATATCCCTTAAATCCTTAATTATATCACATTGCTATATCTGATATATAAGTCTCTGGCTATCTTTCGGCCAAAAAAACAGCACTCGGCGAACACTCATAATACATAATAAGCCGAGGTATACCCCTGTAGCAGATTTGCCTCGCTCTAAACACTCGTTGCAAAGGCTGATGTCTTTCAGTTTCAGCAGGTTGGCCTGGATCTATATTTGTAGAAAAGGTTGATCACAATTGATTTCTAACCTAGCTCTTTACTTATGGCAGAGCCTGGTCATTCTTAGTTTTAGATCTAACCAAGCTCTATACCGGTAGCAAAGGCTCATCACTTTCGTCCATATTTGTAAGCTGTTAAACAAATTGATCAATAACTAGTTATTACTTATTTTGGAACAAGAATACCACAAGGAAGATTCTTCGAAATGCTTTCTGATGTCCTTAAATTTACGAAGTAAACACAATTCCGCCAAGTGTCATATATTTAGACAGTTGCCATCTGTTTATAATAAGAACCATATGTTTTAGGGCATACACAGCTTACCTACATAACAACAGTGTAGGTATGGTTACTATAAACTATTCTTAACCAAGCAAAATGCTTTGATTGCCTCCGAAAGGACTTTACATAAAAGGAAAGAAACGTTTTTGAAATACTTGACCATTGTAAATTTGTTCATTTATTTTTATGTTTTTGCAAACAAGATATCTTGGAAGATAAAAGGATTATATAACAATACACAGAGAAACAATAATCCTTTAAATAGACATGGGAGACAGATGAAAAAGCACTGAACATTCATGTACAGTGTATATTATGCATTGTCATTTTAATTTTCGCAATGTTTGCCCAGTAACTATCTAATATGAGTCACTTATTTAATTATCAGTTTAAATAGAAATTAGCTATCGGTGTATAATCTTTGCAATACCAGAATGCTTTATTAATGGTGGGCTTTTTTGCCAATTAACGGTCATCTCAAAACACAATGTAATTTCAGGTATTTAATCGGTGTTATATCAGATACGGTACATTTTTATCTGTGTGAAAGTATAATCTAACATGATACGTGTCCATTTAGATGAATAATAAAACGTTACATTGTTTCATTTTGAATAATATCAGATGAAGATATTAACTTTATCACGAAACGCACTGACATTGTAACGGATTTCTTACAAAGAAGAAAGCAAATTTTACACGTCGCAATAGATGATTACTTATATTCTGACCAACGAAGGATTTAAGACAAACCAATTTGATATATGTAGCTTTAAGAAGTATCAGGCCCTGGGAAACATGTGAAATTCAAATAAATGTTGTTAGTTACCAATTATTGTCAGTATTTGTATTTGTTTCAGATGTTGACTATGAAATCATTTAGAATTGCTAATATACTTTTATGTTCTCTGTGTTTTACGAACAGTTCAATCTAGTTTTTCAGTAATGACATTGTTAAGCCAGTATGTTGACAGTATTTTAACATTTCATTATAATATTATCGTACATACTTTTTTGGCAAGTAATATATATAGGATATCAGCACTTAAAATATCATGTACTTGTTCTTGTTCTTGTTTTAATATTAATATCAATATTTAATATAACACCTATTACAGGCTAAATCTTTCACGGACTATTGTGTATATATTTTCCTGATTCCCCAATAAATTTAAACCTTAGACTGCTGAATTTGTCTGTGATTAATGGATTTGCCTTACTTTGAATATTGAACAGTCCTTTGAAACTTGATGAAATCAAAATGCCAACTAAATAGAGCCTGGTCAAACCCCACGGATGTGCGGGCTGGCCTGGCTCTATACTTGTGGAAAAGACTGCTTTCTTTCGATTTTAGCCGGCTGGCCTGGCTCTTCTTGCGGCAAAAACTGATCACACTCGATTTCAGTAGGTTGGCCGGGCTCTAAACTTGTGGCAGAGGCTGATCATTTTCAGTTTCAGCTTGTTGGCCTGACTCTTTACATGTTGCAGAGGTTGATTACTTTCTGGCTAAATACTAATGGCAAAAACTGATCACACTAGATTTCAGCAAGCTGGCCTAGCTCTATACTTATGACAGAGCCTGGTCATTTTAAGTTTTAGCGGCCTGACCAGGCTCTACACATGTGGCAAATGCTGATCGTTTTAATTTTCAGTAGGATTGGTCCCGGCTCTATAATGGTAACAAAGGCTGATCACTTTTGGTTTCAGCAGGCTGTCTTAGCTCTTAACTTATGACTGAGGATGATCATTTCGACGTCAGCAGGTTAAGTGAGCAGGCTGGCCTGGCTATAAATGATGGCAAATGCTGATCACTTTCAGTTTAAGCAGGTTGTCCTGGCTCTAAACTTGTGACAGAGGAGGATCACTTAGATGTCAAAAGGTTTGGGTTGAAAAAAATAACGATCCTGTTTCTATTCTATAAAAACTTATCCTTTTTATAAAATACTAATGTTCTGACTCGACTCCTTCTGAAGGAAAATTATTCCGCTCAGAAACCTATAGAATATTCACTCAGTCGATTTCAAACTGACTGTAACGACAAAAAGCCGCTGCTGTTGCCGTATCATAAGTAGTGCATTCTGTTGTTTTTTTATTTGGCATTGACATTTCCACTGATTTGTGCTTAAAAGAGAATGTTTCAATATTTCATACAAAAGACAAGACATAAACGAAATCCCTACGTAGAAAGCTCAAAGCGGCAAAATTGAAATGTCGTCGGTTTTGTTTGATTGTTCATTGAGCCTGTTCATCGACGGTCCGGTAGGGGATAGTGCAAGTCACTGTCCACATCCCATAGACTTGCTTAAGCAGATTCTCCATTCATGTATGAAATGATAAAATTTTGATATCCATCAGTTTCAATCCGTATTTCTAATATGATAGCTTTTTCGGCATTGTAATCGGCATTACATGTATGTGATTTTTGTATAATGCAGGCATTGACATTTTACAGAGGCCAGCTTACTTTCACTTTTTTCATGAGATACAAAAAATATGCCATGTCACTTCTCGCGTTCCTAGGTATTCAGTCCTAAACATGCACATGCACATGCAATAATCTTTGAATCAATGATCCCGAAGAATCAGAAAATAAAACAACAATGAGATGATAATTGGGTCACATTTTACAGCTGTCAAATTTTATTTCTACCATTTTCAAATGGGATCTACTATACACATTCTTTATATTAAAGTGTATAGGAAACAAGACTTACAAGACTTGTAAATGTTATGTGACATTACTGTACTGTGTTCTGTTTCAGTAACAGAAGATAGATGATAGAAATATCAAAGTCTGTTATAATTGTAACGAATATACAAATAGTAACAAAAGGGACTAATATTATAATAAAGTAATATTACATACATATTTTTCATGTCAAATTAAAAAAATGGTTTCTGTAAAAGGCTCCCCGTACATTTAATCAATGATGTTATATTTTTGATTCTTGAAGATCGTTCAGCACGACATTATTGTTGTGCTTGTGGTATTTTTAGTTTCAACTCTTCGGCATTTTCTAGTTGGGTGGTTCCTATATTCCTACTTGAATAATGTTGAATCACCCTTAGGATATGTTTCCTGCTTTTTAAATT